CACCCTGGATCAGCTTCTGTCCTCCAGGACTGTGTAGGGAAGACCTCTCCTCCAGGAGAGCGTATCAGGAACAAGCTCTTAAAAGAGCTAAGTGATTAAAGCTCAAGGGATTATGCAGAGCATAGCAATCCCCGGTGTGATTATAGCAGTTCCCTCCAATAACGAGACGAGGCTACATTTCGAAGGGTAAAGAAGAACTAACTGTACTGGCACATACAGCCCCTTTTATTCACATTCTACAAACATAGTACTGCCCACAGAGTTTTGAAGAACAACCAATCAACACATTACAACGCAGCTAACACTCCCCTTCATTACATCAGAAATATGATATATGAAATGGTGGCCACCCAGTAACTCCACAGTTTGTCTGGTAGTCTATCCAGCGGAACCAACATATGAAACACATGGGGAACAGTGCAACAAATGAAGGGAATCATAAAAAATGTGGACAATAGTCATATCTGTGCACAATCTCCAGTTTTGTCACAGGGTACAAATAGTGTTTTCACTTTTGTTCACTGTATCCACTTTACATTTAGTGTTTTCAAATGCCATATATGCCAGGGCCATAGTCAGAAGGTAGGAGGCGGGCAAGCAGCCCTCTCCAAGAACACGTGACGAGGTCTGTTCCGCCACACTGTGTACTTCTGTTTACTCCGTTCTTGTTTTACTACAAACACCGTGACCAATAAAAATCTTATTAATAAAAAAATAAAGCGACAACATATTCCACAGTGCAGTACAATCTTATAAAATAAACTGTACAGCATAGACAAACCAATACAACACAAGGGAGTGGATGGGGCTCCAATATTACACAATTACTTCACAAATACCAGGTGATTGCTGTGGACTGCAGTGATATAATTTGGCTACTGGTAAATAAAAGATATGTGATACCATCTTTCATATATCTCTTTACTCTTCATTTTCTTAACCATATTCTAGAACCTGGATAGTAATGATTGTATTCCTAGTAAACCTACCCCACCCCCAGGTTTGTGCTGAAAACCCTCCGTTTTTTATGTGAGAGCCAATTGTGCTGAGTTGCAATCCTATTCTTTACATATTAACTTCTCTATGCAGGTTTTATTCCTAAGGATATAGTATCTGGTCCTCCCAATCACTTAGCCTCCAAACCTACGAGGTTCATTGTTCTGCAGTGTTAGACGTTGAAAGAAGACATACACAGGCTTATTTACATTCGAACACACAACATTTAGTAGCACTGTATTTAATAAGGTAATAATGCAGTATATATTTACTTCTTATTTTGCATTTTAGGCCTAACCTCCTCCTCCCACCAGTTGGTCAGCTGATTTGGTAAAGACTCTAAATTTGATCTCCCCTCTTTCTATCGCATTACTCGGATTAAAGTGGAAGGGCCACAAATACTGGCAATTTCACCAGTGAAACAAAACCCTTAATTGTTGAGTAGTTTACCTTTCAATCTCCAGTACCCAAGGTCAACACTGGGATTTTCTGAGCACTGAGGTTAGGTATAATAATTATGAGAAGACATAAATAGAGTGATGTATGGTACATGGTGTGATATGCTACCTTACTGTTGGTGGGAATCGTCTTAAACCTCTTTTTGGCCTTAGGCTGCATATGCATATTGTCTTATAATAAAGATGTCTTATTTTATACAGACCAACTTCAAAAAAAAATAAAAAATTTATTGCCAAAGTATGTATGTATGTGTGTGTATATATATATTTTTTTTTTATTTTTTTTATGGTTTTAATGTGAATGTCTATGTAGTAAGAAAATAGAATCGAATAGAACTTTAGTGCAGATTTAGTTTCAGCTCCATCAGAGGTTTGTCTTAAGGTGGATGGGATGCAAGAATAGAAACATTATAATAAGATTAGTTCCTAAGCACCTCTGCTCAGTATGTTTCGGTAGTAGGAGCTACAAGGATTTTCTCACATTTAACCCCTTGTGGAGCATGTTCAGCAAGGTTCAAGTTAGCAAGTCCCCGAGGAGTTGAAAGCAGACAATGGATACTTATACAAACAGTGATTTGCTCTGTACAGGTCCGTATATTGCTTTTAAATATGTGTTTTATGGATCTTGCATGCAAGTTTGTGCATATAATTCACTTAGTACCAATGATTCCGTTTTGTTCAGCTTTGATGGATATTCATGCTTATTTTTGCATAGCTTGTAAATTACTTTTGAAATTGTAATATAGTGCAATTATTTAATAGTGTTATTTATAAAAGCATTAAAGGAACCCTTAACTAAGCAAATATACTTTATTGCCTTTATTAACATTGAATAGTGAACTATGTCTTCAGGGGTTAAACTAGCTTCCAATTGAATATAATTTGGTGATAACTTTATTTTTACCAACATGGCTGTAAATATTTGTAGCATTCATATAGAAATTGCTTGCCCAATCTGAAGCATCTGATATTGGGGTGTAAGAAAGGACTTGTTGGTTTGTTACTGGGGGACATCATAACTTTCCACCGTGTAAGCCTGTTTTGAATGCATTCGATGCTAATTGACAGAAACACTGGCTGGCCTCACTCAGAGTAGCCCATGTCTAGAGTGCTATTATGGCTCTTTTGTGAGGACAGAATGTCCCATGTTCACCTACATTGTGCTCATTGGGGGTTTCCGGGGTCCCACTTGCAATGGTGTAACAGGGACACAAAAACAGGACTGTTACGCTGAATCTGGGACAGTTAGTAGGTATGATCTTAAGCAATTAAGAATCTTACAATGGTAACATTCCCCTACTATGCGGTCTTCTATTTCAGATGTCGTGGATTGTCTATGTTAAATCCCTCCTATTAGCTGTATGCAAGGATTAGCAAAATAAATCCAAAATAATAAAATAAATCATATTTAGCAATATTTCAACCGGCGGTAGTGTATGATTATCTGTTCTAAAGCAAACAATAGCACACATTCATTCAATGCTGTGTCAAAGCCAGTGCAAATCTCGAGAGCATTATGATGCTTTAAGTTTCCATTTGGAATGTCGTGTGTATGTTATTGACCTCTTGGGACCATGACGTTTCGTTTCTTTCCCCTCAAGCATCAGACGGTTACCATGAATAGTTAATTTCATATAGCAACCTGCTCTCATTTAACAGGCTGCTGTTCACTCAAGGGACTGTGACTAATTCCAACTGTTATAAAAAAAATAAAAAAATAAACCTAGGATTTATTTTATTTTTTTTCTATTCCCTTTTGTAGGATGTTAATCCTCTGACTAGAGAGAGAGCTGGGACCTGTTGTCTGGATTATTACATGTGACAGATTTAGAAACCCAATAGAACGCATGGCAGAGATCAGATCCGTGTGTGTGTGGTTTTTGTATTGTCTTTATGGTTCCATGTAGCTGCAGATAAAAAAAAAACGTTGCTGGGCCCCGAGGAAAATGGGTTGCTAGTTACCTTCTTCAATGAAGCACAAAACGAGGAATTATTTTCCAAAGTGTTTTCTTATGCATTCTGGGGCCAGTGATAACTTAACGATACTAGCAAGCATGTTGACATTCTACAGGTGACTTTATCTAATTCTGTTTTTATGAACATCTTCATCTACATCGGAGCCTGTAACAAGCACTGAAACTCTTTGCCTTGTACTCCATACTTTTACATGTATTTTTTTTTTATATTCTCTGATATAAAAAAAAAAGAATGACTTCTATCGTATGTGCGGTCGTCTGAAATACTACACGTTTTTGATTTAAATTTTAAGTTAACTTGTTGCAAAACGGGTTTTTGCAGCGTGCAAGACTAATGGTGCCAAACTGCGCAGTAGAACGCTGCAGATCAGTTTCAAAGACAGCTGTTTCTTTTTATCTGTCTAGAGCTTTGAAGGATTTCACTGAAGCGATCAAAATATTTGGACTTTCTCATTTCTCTGGAGTGCATGCCGACTTGTCCAATTTTGTATTTGTTTTTTTCTGGTGTTACTTGTATTGCGGGAAAAATACTGCCACGGCCTACGCTATTAAAATGGAGACCTCCAAGCCACCCTTGCAACAAAAAAAATCAGGAATTTCATGGTTGGCTGAGGAATTTTTGTGGATTGGAGGGAGCATTGTGGCCCCTCCGCACATGAAACTTGGTCAAATTGGTAAGCTAGCTTTGAGTTTTCTTTCATTTTTCTTTTTTTTAGAAATGTTTTGATATATTGCAGTTTATTGTTAAATCACCTTGAGGATTTTATAGCTGTCCGCTTTGGTGTGTTCCTCTAGTAGACGTAAGTAGAATAAAAAAGTATAATATTACAACTTTGCCTATAGATTGATACAATTGTTTTTTTTAGAAAGCTTCTAAAGGAGATCAGGAGTTAAATCAACAGGGGGACATGATTAAATTGTGTCTGACGTCCAATCTAATGAAGGAACTTGATCCATCTCTGGGTATTTCTTTTGTCTCTGACATTCTTAAATGCTCCTTGTAAGTCGCTCTTTAATTTCTAAGCTTTAAGTCCTGAATCCCTTAATAAAACTGTAGCAACTACTGCTTAGGGTCTTTAATCATAGGATCATTTCTGAACTATGGCAGAAAAGAGAAGACCGCTTAAAGTAACCATAGGT